CATAATTCTAAATTAAAGAAATGCATATGTATTATTTTTTGTTGTAGCTACTAAATTATTATTTAATTTAATAAGAGTAAAATAGAGTACTAATTATGCCAACTTTGGTTGGGATGTGGTTCGAACTTAAAATCTTTCTTATTGAAATCAATGAGTAAGTTAACGGTGAACTAACAGAAATTAACGCAAAAGATAATATTTAACGGAAATTTTAACGGATAATCATATTCATTAAGGATAAATTAGGAAATCCTAAGAAAAAATTAAAATCTGATCAATCTGAGCCATTCATTTGATTTAAAAATTTGACAGCCATTTTTTTCTACCCGTTATAGGCCTAATAACTCTCTTGGGCTCTTATTAGTATATACTAGTTTTTTACGCGCATTGCGCGATTGGGATTATGCCAATGTTTTTCTTAAATAAGTATTTTAATGTATATCAAGGCAAGATTATATTAGAATTGTTCATATATAGATAATTGAATGTTGAATTTGCGTATTTAAATTAGTAATTCTAAGTTTACAAATGCAAAAATAATATAGTCAAGATTAATTAAAATTGTCAATAAAATAATTATATGGGTATGGTTGAAACCAAATACGAGACATAAGAGAAAGCAAATAAAAATTAAAGCATAAAATATTAAATATATACTAATATTGTTTGAGAAGATTCCGGCAGTAAGATTTGTGGTTAGAGTTCTATTAAGACTTTAATATAAATCGGTAATTTAAAGTATATAAATGCAATATTTTATATGAGAGATTTATTATATTGTCACTAAAATAAATATTTGCAACTTTGTAATAGCGCTAGTTTAAATACTTAGTCTAAAAATGATAGTCTACATACATACTACTTTTGGTTTAAATTTCTCTAATTCTTCTCAATTCTCTTTTGGGTAGCATTGTCATTGTCTTCATCTTCACTACATGTCCTTTTTTTTTTTTAATAAGAGTAATAAAGTAGCATACATATTTTTCATCAACAATAATGAAATCAATGATTTTATTTTAATTTACATTCGTTGTTGAGAAAAATTGTTTTGAGAGTTTGTCAATGACAAATTGTTACAATTCCTGTAAATAGAGAATGATAATAAATAATTCAAAATATATAGTTACAATAGATATTGTTATAATGATATAGTAAAAATTAACTTACAAATTTCTTTAGAAGTTTTCATGCATTGATAAAATTCTGATGTGTAAACTTGTTCAATTAGAGCCAATGAGATGTCAACATTGTCAATTCTTTGGAAAATGGTCTTACCGTTTTAAATTCCAGGTGTAATTGTATTTATGACCAATAACTTTGTAGTTAGGTCACGCAGGTCTGACAATGATGTAAGAACAATTTTGTCCCATAAAAAAAATAATAATATAATATTTGTAAAGTAATGTACAATTGTACTATTATAAAAATACATACAAAAAATATTTATACCATAAAGGCCGAAATCATATCAATAATGCAAAAGTATAATTGAAATATTAAGTTTTGTTCTGATCTAAATAATCAAAATAAGATTAATTAAACGAAAAAAAAAATTAACTTAACCTAAATTTGTTTGTTTTTTTTTTAAATGCATAAAAATCAAATGATTTTTAAAGTTCTTGATTTATAATCTTTGATGCTTAACTTTGAATGTTATGTATTTAGTCGGAATAATTATTTGACCAAAGTTTATGTTAAATTTTATATTATATATATATGAACCATTCATTTTAAGAAACATTAGGACCAAAAATTTTTTATTCCAGTTAAGGGCATAACATTATTGGCTCTTATTAGAATGGTAGATTGTAGATGTATATATATATATATATATATATATATATATATATATATATATATATATATATATATATATATATATATATAGGGAAGGGATCAGGTGCATTTGTGTCTTCCCGTGCGGTTGTGCAGTGGATTAGTGTGCGTGATGTTTATACTTAAAGCGCGTGAGTGTTGTGCTTAATGTGCCTGATATTTGTACTTAATGTGCATAATGTTAATATTCGTGAGTTTTGTACTTAATGTGGATGAGTATTGTGCTTAATATGCGTGAGATTTATGCTTAATGTGCGTGAGTAGTTCAGAACTACGAGCCCAGGAAGCAGAACAGAAAACTCACGCACATTAACGCCCAAGCTTATTGTTACTTCTTCTTTCAATTTGGCCATGGATTCTGGATTATCAGCTACCTAGTTGAATGTTTATATAGATGACGCACGCACAGCAAAATTTGTATACCAGCTAAGTGTGGATTTCTGTTGTATTATTCCCATAATTCTTAACCACCATAGCCCTCCTCCGCATCATCATCATCAGGGAGGGGCAATGGCTATTGGGGATGGGGAAGAAGCTGACATTCATATTTTCTGCTGCATTTTACACATTCACGCACGTACAAATCTCAGGCACATTAAGCACAACACTCACGCACATTGAGTACAAATCTCACGCACATTAATCAACCGCACAACCGCACGGGAACCTTTCACTATATATACACACACACATATATATATATATATATATATATATATATATATATATACATATATATATATACAGATATGTATATATATATATGTATGTATATATATATATGTACATATATGTATACATATATACATATATAGATATATGTATACATATATGTACATATATATATATATATACATACATATATATATATACATATTTGTATATCTATATATGTATATATACATATATATATATATATATATATATATATATATATATATATATATAGTATATATATAGTAGTATATATATAGTAGATAGATTAGTAATCACTTTTGCTACAATAAAAAATCGGCTTTCCTATGTATCGTGTATGTTGATATGTTATAATTGAAAAATGAGATTTTTTAGGGGTGGAATATTTATGATGCAATGATTTTATTTGAAATTATTAGTCATCGCGCCAATTTGAAGCGTAGTAAATTTGTAAAAATATAAGTATCCGGAGTATGGGTAGTCGAATCACAGGGAAGTGGGGTCACTGCTGGAAATTATTGAATTTTCGACCACCTGAAAGTGATCTTAAATCAAGTAGAAAACAAAAAGTGGTCGGAAATAGCAACAATGGTTTTTCCGGATACCAAAAGAGGTCAGAACAAGGCTTTCGACTTAATTTAAGATCACTTTCAGGTGGTCGAAAATTCCATAATTTCCAATAGTGGGTACTAAGCACTAGCTACTAAACTACTCACGTGAAGCTAGTCTTAACAAAACAGGTGATTTTGAAAATTGAGAAAATTAAAAAGCTAAATAAACAGATTGATGAAATCAGAAGAGCAAAATAGGATTCCTGGGATCTAAGTGGTGAATCATGATGCTCTGTCGGGCCGGGGTGTGAGGGGCTCTTAGGGTTGGGGTTCAACCTTTTGGAAAAATGATTCTCATATGTCTAAATATCAGTAGTTTAGTTATATAGGAGTGAGATAATTATAGATTTTTTTTTTTTTTTGGTTACACAAAGAGGGAGTAAACCCGGAAGAAGCTAACTAAGAAGAACCCCTGGTGCTTGTACAGGCACACACCCTATCTTCCCAAAGCAAGTTCTCAATAGATTGCTGTGGCGTTTGAATGACCCTTGTCCCTAGCCCATGGTCTAAGGCATTAGACGCAAGTTTGTCTGCAACTTTGTTTCGGCTACGCACCACGTGGACAAACTTCACCTCTTGGAAATTCTTTGTTTCCCGCACACATAAACGCACAATATTGCTCACCCGCCCAGATTTAATGCAGTTAGTGATGCAATTGATCGTAGCTAATGAGTCACTTTCTATTATCACCCTTCCTGCGTACCACCCGGCGGCCATCCGCATCCCTACAAGAACAGCCCACGCCTTTGCTGCGTCAGCCGCACACGAACCGATGTGATGAGATGCCCCTTGAATCCAGCGCCTAAGATGGTCTCGTACAATGCCTCCACATCATGCTCTCTAATTCACACCCTTACAGCAGCCATCAACATTTATTTTCAACCACCCCATGGGCGGTTTTGTCCAAGAGCCGGTTGCACTGGTCCCTCGAGTTTCGGCTCTGGGTGGCCGTGTAGATTGGAACGACATCCTCGTCTGGTAAGTTCGATTTTGGATCCACGCTACCTTCTGCTTGGTAGTCATGTGCTTGTCCTCAAAATTCCTCAAGTTCCTCCATCTCCAGCACCACCAAATGACTGTTCCAAACGTCTCCGGCCAACCTTCATTGAATCCCAGCCTCGGATCAGCTCCAAGGTTCGCGGACAACAAGGACTTCCAACCTTTGTTTCAAAGAGTTTGCCTCGTTTGGTATGGAAGCAACGCCTCTCACAACCCAACGACCTCCGGGCATGATCTGAAGAGATGATCCAAGCTCTCCGGCTGACCTGCATAAACAGAACAAGACATATCAGTTGTGAATCCTCTCTTTATGCGTTCAGTGTTTGTCATTAGCTTCCGGTGCTTCACAAGCCACACAAAGTGGTTTAGTTTACTAGGGAGTCTCAGCTTCCAGATTTTCTGCCAGTCGTAATCTACTACTGCACTGCTCTCCTTCCGCAACAACGCATACGCCGAGGTAACGGAGAATCGACCATCTGCCTCCATACCCCATCCCCATTCATCTCACGCATTGTCTTCATCGATTATGGAATAGGCATGTAATTCCCGTATCCACGCCTCATCCAGGATGTCCTCAATCTTCTCCCATCTCCAGCCCCTCTCCTTATCCCAATACTCCGCCACCGGGGCGTATAGCTCCGGCAAACTCACCAGATGCTTCATGTAATCATACAGTTGTTGACCCTTAACCCATCTGTCCATCTACAATTGCGTCTCCTTCCCATTGCGTATCACCCTTGTTAGGCCGCTTCTCAGTGTTCCCAAGACACTACAAACTCCTCGCCATGCATTCGAGGCGCTCCGATTTCCCATCGCCATCCAACTATCATCCCCGCAACCGTATTTATTCCTCAGCACTTAGGTCCATAGGCTGTCACGTTCAGTGAGGATCCGCCATCCAAGCTTTGCCATGAACGCCGAGTTGACGTCTTCGATTCTGCACAGGCCTAGTCTCCCGTCTGCCGGTGGTCTCGTCATAGTCACCCAAGCGACGAGGCTAACCCGCCGCGTCTCCCCGTCACCACTCCATATGAAACGCCTGGTGATCATTTCTAACTTCTTACACACACCCTTAGGCAGGTTCGTCGTTTTCATCGTGTACATGGGTATGGCACTCAAAACCGTTTTGGCCATGGCAACTCTCCTTGCAAAAGATAAGGTTTTACTGCGCCACCCTTCAAGCCGCATCATCACTCGGTCGAGCAGTCTTGAAAAAGTTGCTTGAGTAACTCTGCCATGCACAGAAGGTACCCCTAAGTACCTCCCTAGATTCGTCGTCACCGGGATATTCAGGGTGGCCGAGATCGCCGTTGCAACGTCTGGGCTCGTATTCCGTGAGAAAAATACCTGGGATTTGCTTAGGCTGATTTTCTGCCCAGATGCTTCGCAGAACCTCGACAGGCACTGCTGAATTACACTTAACTGCTCAACGGAAGCTTCTGAGAATAAAACCATGTCATCAGCAAAGCATAAGTGTGACAGGGTTGGCCCTGTACGTGCTAGTTGAACCCCTGTCCACCTTCCCGAGCTTACTGCCTCCACGATGCTCTGGCTCAGCCGTACTACGCATAATACAAACAAATCTGGAGACATGGCATCGCCTTGTCGAATTCCCCTCCCAGGTCAAAATTGGGTCAGACGAGCACCATTCCACGTAATAGACATTGACGTTGTGCGAACGCACTCAATAATAATGCACGTGAATTGATCATTGAAACCTGCATCCAAAAGCGTATCAATAATAAAATTCCACGAAAGATGGCCATACGCCTTTTCCAAATCGATTTTAATGGCCATGAGACCCTTTTTTCCTTTTTTGACCCGCATCGAGTGCATGAGTTCCTGATAGATGATCACGTTGTCTGAAATTTGTCTGCCCGGGACAAAGGAGCTCTGAAAGGGACCTACCAGCTTAGGCAAAATGGCCTTGAGCCTATTCGTAATTGTTTTGGTGATAATTTTATATGACTCGTTGCAAAGTCTGATTGGCCTAAACTGCTTGATGGTTTCCGGCGCCCCGATCTTTGGAATAAGGGCCAGAATGGTTTCGTTAACGCCAAGGGGTAGCTTCCATGACACAAATGCATTCCTAACCAACTTGTGAACACTATCACCCACCACATCCCACGTGCTTTGATAAAAGGCCGCATGTAATCCATCCGGCCCGGGTGCTTTCCAAGGACTCATATCAAAGACCGCATCGCGAACCTTCTCTTTAGTCACTATCCGCTAAAAAGTTCGCCAGTCAAACTCCTCTATACGCGGAAATCTGCCTCTCACAGCCCGTGTAACATCCGTGACCATATCCTCCTTAAAGAGGCCAGTGTAAAACTCTTGTACGTGTGCTTGTAGCATTTCCGGATCACTTAACCAATCACCATTGTCATTTTTTAGGCTTACGATTTTGTTCTGTGATCGTCGTACCATAGTGGCTGCATGATAGAACTTCGTATTTCTGTCTCCCGATACGATCCATTCTTCTCGGGGTCTTTGGTACCACTTTAATTCTTCTTGATATAAGATAGTCTCTAGCTCGTCGTTTAATTTCCTCTCTAATTTGGTGAGTCCCATGTGGTACGCAATAGTGTTTATTCTTTGGATTACCCTGATACGGGCCAAAAGCGTCCGTTTCATTACCTCTATATTGCCAAAAACTTCTTTATTCCAAGTCATTAGATCCTGTTACACTCGTTGGATATTATTTACTAAATCTTCACTGATTCGCCAGGACTGTTTCACCTCTGCAGTAAACTGATCACTTGTTAGCCAAGCGGCCTGGAGTTTGATGGTTGGACTGACCCATCCAGCGTGCCTGGCCTCTGTCCTAAGGAGTATGGGTGCGTGATCTGAAGCAACCCGAGGTAGATGATGGACCGACGCATCCGGAAACCTCTGGCGCCACCCCATATCACAAACGGCTCTATCTAGCCTCGCCCCTTTGCTGGAGCTAGCATCCGACCCTCTAACCCATGTCATTCGCGGCCCACTAAAGCCAAGGTCGACCATCCCTTCCGTTTGGATCCAGTCCACGAAGTCAGCACTTCGGTGGTCTGAGTAAGCAGTATAACTCAGCGTCTCTTCCAGGCAGGTCACCGCGTTGAAATCTCCCGCTGCTATCCAAGGATGTCTTATGTTCCTTTTGGTCGCCTGCAACTTGCTCCACAGACATCATTGTAAGTGTTGTGTCGGGCTTGCATAGACCACTGCGAAGGTCCATGGCTCCCCGCTATTCTCTTTAACTTGCAACAAAATGAATTGGGGGTGAGTGTATTCCACAGTAATTTCAATAGGCTTATTCCAAAGCACCTAAATCCCCCCACTGAAACCAATCGCCTCTACGCGGACCCAATCTTCGTAGCTAAGTTTCGAGCAGATACTATTAGCCTGGTTGCCCGACACTTTCGATTCCACCAACCCAATAATACTCGGCTTGTGTGTTTTCAAAAGGGTTTTTAAAACACGCTGAAAGTTCCTCCCTCCAGCGCTCTAACAGTTCCAAAGTAAACCAATCATTAAAAAATAAGGGTAAGAAAATCAGTCACCAAGACACAAGAAAAGGACCCCTGAACACAAACAAACAAAATAAATTAAACACAGTTCTCTCCAACAGTCCCATGGACCTCCCCATGCAGTTCCTCCATCTCCATTACTGCATCTCCATCTTCATCCATGGATGTTGGCTTATTCGAATGATGCTCTCCTAGGTGCTCGAGGTCAGGCGGTGAGCTATCACCGTCGAATTGTCTGCAACTGACGGTGACGGTACGTATTTGTTCCCCTCCCTTCGAGCCCCTAACAACCACATGCTCCTCCTCCTCTGCTGCTCTCTTAGACACCCCAACTTGCACCATTCGACCACCCTGCTTTGACGCCTACTCGTTTCGCGGTGCCTGTTTCTCACCCAGAATCTCGCTGGCAGGAGCCACTCCCGTCGACGACTGACCAGCCTCCGATCCATGTCTACGACGAGCACTTGCATGAGTTTCCCCCACCCCAACCTGCAGCCCACCCTATGGCGATGACATTCAGTCTTTGCGTTCTCCCACCGAAATGTGTCGGCGTATGCGTTTCCCTTGTTTGCCCCAATTCATTTCGAGAGCGCTCAATCGCGACTGGCTGTCCAATTTGTATCTCCATACCTGCCTCCGCATTGGCTTCCATATCACCGTCCTGCTCTATCAAAGGTGCGTATCGAGACATATGCGACCTCCGTCGTGGATGGCCTGCCCTCTCAGGCTACTCTCGTCCACTCATTTCTGGGGTCGTCCTCCATTTCGTGATCGCCTCCTTGGCGCGATCATCCAGGTACCAAATGGGGCATCCCCCACTTGATCTGCTCGACGTTCAACTTCTACGATTGGCTCAGGCGCTGCAGTGGCCTGCTTGGGGCAGGCTTCTGGAAAATGACCATATACGCCACGTACACGCAAAGAATACCATATGGACGCCCTTTGTGACACCCCAAAAATCCACATTTCAATCCATGAATTAATTGAGTAATTAATTCTATTTCTTTTGAGGAATTGATTCCTAAAATCCTGATTTTTAATACTCAAGGACTAGTATTTGACTAGTCAACCTTTAAGTTGTGTTGTACCCTGTGCTTTGAGGGGAGTTCCCTTGTTCCTTACACTTTCTAAAGCTTAGTAAGGCTATTCTTGTCTTTTCACCAAGAGTTAGTATTGTAACCTAACCTAGAAGACTTCTTCATTTCATTTCTTACAATTCTTAGAAAATTTCTCTACCTTCTCTCTAGAAAAGAAGTGTAGCTTATTCTCCAAGCCAAGTTGAGACCCTTGTCAAGATTCCAAGTTTTGCTTCCAAGATTCAACCTTTCACCTATTTGGGCATCTAGGAGGGTAAGATCTAAGTTTATCTAGTCTTTTTGGTTCCATCTTAGTTGTCTTTTTTCTTAAAGGTAGGATCTTTATGAACTTTTGGGTTGATCTTGAAGTGGGTTTGAGAAGTAAGCCTTGTGGGGAGCTTGTAGTGGTGTTAAGTGAAGTCTTTGGTCTACAAGAGGTAACCCATGCTCTACAAAACCTATTTTGCTTACCTATATGTGATTTCTTGGATTCTACTTGTGTTTTGCTATGAAATGTGAGAGTTTATGCATTTATCTTGTGATATTGCATATCTAGAGCTTGTGTTTAGGGTTCTTTTGTGCCATTGCTTGGCATCTTCCATGGTTCAAGTCATTTTGTTGTATTGGGTGAGATTTGGCATGTTTTGGACTTGAATTTGTGTTTGGAGAAGAAATCCCCGAAGGGATTTATTGTGGAACAGGAATGTTCCCGCGGGCGGAACGGCGGGCGGGGCAACACCTGCCGGCCTACCCGCGGGTACAGGCCTCGTGAGATGATGTTCCCGCGGGCGGGACCATGGGTGGGGCACTACCCGTGGGTCCACCCGCGGGTACACGATGGCATTTGGTTCGGGATTTGTTCCCCGTGATTCGTTTGTCTCGGTATTTGATCTTTTGACTTCCCGTTGTTCTTTTGTGGAACTATTTGAGCATCTTCTCGATGTTTCGTAGGTCTAGAACTATATGGTAGGTATCCATGTAGGACTTTGGTGTCTTGAATCGTGCTAAGTGTTCAACATTGTGTTTCGTTGGACCAAGAGGTGTCTTGTGAGTTCCTCGGAACTATCTTGAGTTTCTCCGTTGTTAAGCATGCTAGTTTATTGTCTTAATACTAGCGTGTGTGTGGTTCGTACCTTCCGTTTGGTTGATGATAACTTGTGTTATACATCGTTGTTGTCATTGGGTTGTGACCCGTTCCTTGATTGAGTATGGTTTCATACCTTCGTTGTAATCCATTGCTTGACTCGTGTGAGTTGTGGTGCGTGTGTGGCTTTACCTGGATTGCATGATTAGTGGTATGGGACGCTAGTCACCAAGGTATTGCAGCGGTCCTCGTGGCGGCCGTGACGTGATTATGGAGTTGTGTTCCTTCGAGAAAGGTTCACATGATTGGGGGATAACATGTGTTATCCGGGCATGTGTTTCGCCATGTACGGTACCTTGTGTACTATGAAATTGGTGGTCTTGTAGGCGGGTTGTTGGTGGGGGACGACGGTCCCAGGAGGGAAAAGGTTGGACTAAGAAGTACAGGGGTCCTGGAGGTAATGGTTGGCATGAAGGTACAAGGTTGGGGGTAGCCATAAGGTTGGAACAGGGCATAAGGAAGGCATATCAACTCGTGATGGGTGATGTCACGAGGGCTTGTGTAGCCGTTGTGGTGAGTTCTCTTTCTTGTGACGTGTGTAGTCACAAGGGCATGTGTTGCCATGGGTGAGTCTTGTCCCTTTTGTGTTGTGGTTAACCTTTGTGGTTTGGGATGTGTTCCCGGTGTTATCTTTGAGAGTGATGAGTCTTGTGTTGTCTATTGATCTTGGCTTTTGACTTATATACTTATGTATTCCGTTTCGAAAATGGTTTTATGTCTTATATCTACTTATATATGATACTTAATGGTATTGGTGGGTTACCAGCATTATCGCTGACCGGGCGTCGTCCCAATGTTTATCTTTGTATCTTTCAGGTGATGTTTAGACGAGCGCGATGTCTAGAGCTTGGTAGCTTAGCACCTTTATCCCTGTTTTTGTGGCCTGTGCGCCAATGTAGTTAGACTGATGTTTTGGGATAGAGGTATACACTTGCAGATTGTTTGCCTTAGCGTTTACCGGGTTCGGTAGACGTGGCATAACACCCATGACTTGGATTTTCTTTTATCCAGTTTCTGCTTTATCTTCCGCTGTGCTAGTTTGTTGTTTAATCTGCATTTGTTAGGGCTTTCTTTTGGGCCTTGTTTGGGGGGTGTTACACCCTTGTACGCCACCGATCGCACCTTCTCCTTGTATTTGAACTTTGAGATTAGAGGTTTTGTTATGTCCACCTCAACGCATATCCTCGCGAAGTACCCTCTTGATACCAGACTTGTCGCCTGGTCAATCTTGATCGTCCTCCCCACTTTGTTGCCAAGCTTCCTGAGGATGATGATGTTATAATACTCTGCAGGTATACAAGGGATTCTTACCTAGACCAGCATTGTAACACCCCGAAATTTTGAAATTTTTAAAACTTATATAATAAAGGTAAATTCTCATTAAATCCCAAAATATAGTATTACTAAACACAAGGGTGCGGGGTGCTATGCCACATCTGAGCTTGAAAACTCAGATGC